GAAGCCTTTCTGTATCGTTCTTATGTGATCTAACATGATAAGAAACTGGAATCGTGGGTTTGTGCATTCGGTACAAACGAAATTGCATCGGGGCAGGCAATAGAGAGAGTCCATGTAACTTTCTATAACGACACGATAGCGTCTATATTTATGGATTTTCGACCAGTTGTATGGAGATCTCGTGGGTGAATTGAAAAGATCATGGATTAGGCTAACCTTAGAGCCCGTTTATAAACAAACTCAAGGGCAGGTATAATAAATAACAAACGCAAATTGTTACCATTGTTGACATACACTATGCAGGACATCGACAGGTCGGTCCAAATAGTTGACCGTATATTTACCAGTTGCTGTAACCGCCAATTTGTAATTAGGTTTTAACGTATTTTAGAAGGCCAACACAATTTTAAAACAACTCAACTACCAGTATTCAATCTAGCGGATACCTAGACATTACTACATCGGTACATGTGGGTCCATCGGTTCGTCGTGTAAAAAAATCTTACTTATAGAATCATTATAAGTCTTCAACGAATTCTCATGGAGTAGACACTACTTCTTAATGCAGTGTATACTGATCTAAATTTTGCAATGAAATAGTAGGCGAGAAAAGTTACTCAAACAAACGCATTTTTATGCGATTTTACGCATATTAAGACGACTTATATGCGTACAGTCTATTGTAGGGAAATGGGAAACGTTAACGTTGCACACATGTTACTTTTTTTTTTCGTTTCAAGCGGCTCTCTAGGACTATAGCGTACGCGCTCTCCATTTTTTAGGACCAACCCCAGAAAGATTGTTGTGCCCTTCATAAAAGCCGTTTCTGTTGTCAATAGATGCTATCGGAACATTAAAATTTGTCTGTCAATTAAGTCCACCTGAAAAAATAGAAATTAACTGAAATTGACGTCACTGAAGTGAAAGATGTCTACCTAAATGAAAATCCGGTTGCGTAGTTGTTTGATACGTTGGCTTTGCAATGTTTCTAACGTATTTAACGTTTCAAGAATATATTGCCTGTTATTACAAGAATATCCGGGTTAATCACGTTTGCATTCGATGTTTACCGACACGCAATAGCTACCCACTTCTTTATCAATTCCTGTTTAATTAAGCTAAATGTTGCCTAAAGTAATAAATTTCAGGCTTTTTTTTATTCCTTCTGCTTGTATATTGATCGTGCTGCCTAATGCGTTCCGTGTTCAACCGTAGACATCAAGGACTTAGTTAAAGTGAGGGAGATTACCCTGTAATCGTAACGATACAGGATGAGCCTTCTGTACATGCGCTGTTGCAAGGGGACCATTAATTATCTCAAACTGCAGGCAGTTCAGCCCACTGCAGATTGTGCATGAAAAGAGATCTCAACGGGAGAACTTCGATCGGAACTGATCACCCCATTGTAAATTACGTAAGTGATGTAGATTGCAGTTGATGGAACCATACACCTGCTTTACGCTTCACGCTTACTTGACTCCGTGCGCATTTGAACCGATTCTAACTTCCTCGAGGGTTCATACGTTCACAGGATAGCTCAAAAATACGTATATAGTCGTGTGTGCATATGCGTATATAAGTTACACTATATATATATATATATATATATATATATATAAAGTGGAGTTCTGACTTCAAGTCCGTACGCTTGTAGAATGAGTCTTCACATTTGTCACTGAAGACCTCTTGTTTTTTCCGTTGGCCGCGTGACTTATCCAAGCTCTCACGACAAAATGAACGAAGAAACGTGTAATCGTTGTACGAAAAGGACGGTAATTCATACATTTTGGCACACAGATTTTTACTTTCTGCTTCATAAACTTTATACATATGCCAGCTATATAGTTTCAAAAAAGGTTTAGATAGAAGCTTCTTTGAAGGCACCGGTTAAGCCAAATTATGATATCCAACCACCGGGTGTACATCGGACCTAACCCGATGTAAATTTTTGTATTCGTTCTGGCTTAAATAGACATTACTTGAAACAGCTGGCCTACCGCACGTGTGGTACGCCTGGCTTTTCTTTTAAGAAAGTTTAGTGAGTTCTTGCATGGCAAGTCGGGAGTTGTTTAGGCTCCCTCCGATCGCGAGCCTAAATCGTATCCCTTGTTCTTAGGTTCAATAGGCGAACATGTTACCGATGCATTATCATTGTAACGTAACTCCTCGACTTACACCTATTTAACGTTTACTTGGCTAAATAATAACAACTAAATGATTTTTCTTATCCGTCAACTAAACTCCACGGAAACGTTTGTCTAATAACGTTCAATATGCGGCTATCCACGTTGACAATCTGCGGTGAACGGAGGCCTGAATGAAGGTGAATGGAAAGCTGACGCAGTCTATTTCAAATAAATGGCCTAATTTCGGCTGTCTGGTTGGGTATTTGGCGCTGGTCGTACATACATTCAAATAAAATAAATATAGTTGTACCTCATTCGAGTACCTCATTGTCTCCTCTCAATTTTTATAACTATTTTTCAGCGTAATTCTATAATTTTTCCCAATCGACAAAACTGATCACTATCGACGTATCGTTCGTGTCATTGTTACTTATATACCTTTTTGTCCTTCTCAAGAATTCTCGATGTCAAAGTATGCAGGACGTGCGCCTTATAGAGTCGTAGTAGCTGGCGAAAATTGAAGCTAAGTGGACTCTATCCTTGAAACTCTTTAGAGACTACTAGGACCACTACAAGGGATCTGCCCGTTGTAGTTGGCTAGCACAGTTTCACCTATTTGAGCTAAAGAACAATTCGCGCCATCTTCTATTTTGATTCGTTCAATCCTCTTATCAATTATTTTAAATCGACGTTTTACCTTAGCTTGTCGTATAGCGTCGAGAAACTATGATCCGCATTGTTTCTGTGAACGCAGCGCTCGTATATGTGCTCGTATATGATATTTTTATTGTATTAACAGGCACACCAAAAGGGCAACAATGTTCTTTCTATCAGTGAACGCACCCATTTGCCTAAAGCAACAGCAACGTAGGATGCAATGGAAATGATGCAGATTCATCACGGTCAGAAATAACAGTTGAGATATTTGCCCGCTCCTTAACACAGTACAGGGTTGATATTTGCCCCATATTGGTATTTCTAAGCTAGCATATGGATTCGTAAATTCGGCGATGATTTGTTTATTCGCAGCACTGAGAACATGAGTAAATGTTTATTTCATTCCTATATTGGAAAGTAGAGCTATATGAGACAAGGAATATATAGATCACTCAGTTTTTCTAACCAAGGGTCGTTGATTTGAATTTTCTAATCGAAGCAAAATTTTCGATTTTCTCTGAGGTGCACCGTTCAGCAACTTTGTGCAATCGAAAATACTGATCAAACTTAAAAACTGGGCTTAGATGGAACAGCTAAGTATTTTTTTTTTTGTATTGTATAAAAGTATTGCTGAGCAATTTATTCTAGTTTGTCCTATGCTAAAGCTGCATTTTCCGTGCCAAACGGAAATCAAGTAAAACTTCATAAAAGTTACGTGAAGTTATATCGTATGATCACCCTGGGGGTTAAATGCGGCCAGCTGAGGTGAGGCTGTATGGACCAGTGATATCAAGCATACAGAAAACCCGATGCCGTTGATGCTAATTTTGCAGAGCATTTAAGAAAACTAGGTGACCTCAAAGTACAATTCAGCTTAGAAGAAACTCTTTGAAACAAGCAATTTTTAAGAGAAGCCGGTTAACGATTTTATTGGCATAATGTATCATTTGTAGAGAATCACAATATCGATGTATGCCTAATATTGCGGTCGATCATAATCATAGATCAGAACTTACCATAATTTTTACACGAGAAAAAAGCGTAGCCTCCGTAGCTACACAGACTGAAGGATTCAAGTAGGCTTTGAAGAACGACGCTACTCTATCTCCCTACGCCTTGAATAAGACGTAATTTGTAGATGTGTCAGTACCTGGATGCCCAAGAGGTTCTACAGACCTTTATGTGGACGTACAATAGATAAATAACTATTTTCGATTTGCTTAATTTGTCAATAAATTATTTAAAAGCACCGACTTCTTTACTAATAATTACGGCGTTTTCCAGAACGAAAGGCATTTTTCTATGTCTTTTTTTTTGTTGAATGACTTATTTGCTTGCACAAAATCTTTAGTAATCCATTTAGTGCCGCCTTGTTGGCCCCCGTGAAATTACATGGACCTACGAGATAGAAGTCTTCAATGGATATGTTTTCACAGTTGTGTAAGCAGCTAAAAAAGTATCTGATATCTGCGAATAGGCCATGCAGAGATCTTTTAACTGCGAAGATTAAGAGTCTCCTGTTTGGACCCTGCGTACCTGGCTCACAGGACACTACGCCATCCTCCTCGCTTCTATAATACGTACGTGCAGTCGTGTCACCATCATCGCAAGAAAAACAACCACCTGATTAGTCCTGTGGCTTTTTTCTTCAAAAACTCACCGTTGCATAAAACGACGACAATCTATTCGTTAGCAGTTACGCCAGGAATTTGTTCGACCGATAGATATATATTCAGTCGAGCGGCAATCCCTGCACATCATTGTAGAGCAAATATAAAACGACAAAAGTGTGACCTTGATAATGACTCCTCCGATTGGCGGTGTCAAGTGCTATCAAATGAATTGAAAAGTGGATACATGTTGATAGATTACCGATAATATATTTGTATATGTGAACATGGGTTCTCAACGCCAATTGGTTCCTTATGTCTCTGGACTCTTCGTCATTTTTGTGCCATCTCATTTAGGTTGGACGATGTCGTATCAGTGTGCAAGGGATACGGTGATCAGTGGATGGGATAAATGAACGACGTTTTGTTTCGCCCAAAAATAATGTCTAATAAATATGGCGCTTTACGTTGCACTGCTAATCTCCGACTCAATCGTATGGTATATTTCAACGCAACGGAAAATGTGTCAATAAAAGGGATGCAAGATCGCTGAATGGATGGATGCGTTGTTTCGTTCCGCAATTCCGTTGGGGTGAGTCGACGATAATCCAATTGTTATACCGTTACGTAAATATTAACTATGCAAAGTGATCCTGTGTCATATTTAAAATGTGAGTTTTAAGAACACAACGAATTTAAAGGTGATTATTGTAAGTAGATACGTTTCTCAACTTAGAAAACTGACTGGTGCTAAATGATTTAAAAAACAAAAAACTGCGAAATCCCAGTTTCATCATCTTGTTATAAAAATAGGGAAATGAATTTCGGTTTTAAAAAAAAGCGACATCAATCGATAGACTTAGTGTCAATAAAACTCAGTTATATATATATATATATATATATATATATATAGCAGCATAACCGTAAATATGGTAACTAGTTGAAAAGAGGCATTCTTAGAATTGGGTTTTGTATGTTTGATAGAAGCAAACGAAGTTTAGAAGATACATTTTATGTAAACTATGTGAACAAAGGAAGTTATTCGAAGTATATAAGATGTTAGCTACTTATTTTAATCTAGAATGGTTAGGTGTATTAGTTTCAAAAATATAGGTGATATGAGACAAACGTTTTGGCCGAGTGGTAATATTTCTTTACTGGTCATCGTTTTCCAATAGTTGGGTTTCCACTTCTACCCATATACGCAATTGTTCACTTGCGTCCTTAAATATCCCGTTTAGACGCTGTAACTAGAACCTCGCGTAGGTTTAATTCGATTTAAAGTTTTATAAGAAATTTACAAAATTTCGAAGTTGTTCCGCTTGTTTTTGGATTGTGTTCAGGCGGACGTCTTTCATGATGTCCATAATCACCGTCACATTACAGGATATTATCAGCTCGATATAGTAAAAACCACTCACGATTGGCAAATGCTAGAGGACAATCATAGAATAGACATAGAACAAAATCACTCATAGTCTATAAGTAATGCTGACACAGTGAGGTTCTTGGATACGCAACTGATGATTTAAATGCAGGGCTATTGACCGGGCAAAACCGCTACCAGAGCCGATGAGCTAATCCTGTTCGATAGACAAGAGAAAAGGGACTTTCAGGCTTTTCCATGTAATAATCGAATTACCACCTGTCAAGGCCGCCTGTGAGAATACTAACAGAGCGCATTTTGAAGTCGACTATGGGAGGCACGGTACAACAAAAGGGCGATAAGGGCCACATAAGTGAACTCACTTGTTATAAATCAAAATTAGTTATCTTCTATTTTTCATCCCAAGTTGTCAAGTAATAATGATCAGTCTCCTCTGTATACGGCCGGCAGCATATTTTTTCTCTTTTTTAAAGCACCAAAACAGAATTAATGAACGACGACGTCCGGAAAATATCACCTAATAATTATCTACCTACACCTATTTTTCCAAATGCCGAAGGGAAGATGTTCAGTCGTAAGGTACCGTAAATAGTCGTATACGTTGCACAATTTGCTTGAATTTGAACAATAAAAAAAAATTAAAAAAAAAAAAAAAAACGTTCTCTTCTTATCGAATCCTCTCCGTTAAAGAGTTCATAGCCCATAATCAATTATTTGCACCAGTTACAGATGGACGACAAGCAGTCGTAACAAATCTTTACCATAGCTGTGATTACCTTAGAAAGACGTTCGAATGATGTTTAGTGACATGAGTTTGAACACTCAAAAACAGCGTTATACCGATATCAATGTCTTGTTGTATCTCCTATGTACATATCTATGAAAAGTAGAACCAGTATGATACGAACGAAACACGCAAGATGAAGGCCACTTGAATCGCCATCTAGAGCTACTACGGCACCATTCCTGTAGTGGTTTTCATGAATGGACGCCACCGTACCAAAGCTGGTATTGAATTTGCTGACCGTAGGCCTATTACATAGGCTGACACATTACTAAGAAACGGCAATAGCGTGTTCTGAGGAGGACTTGTCCAATCAAGTATATTACTGTCGACCCTATGGATCAGAGGACGTCGGATCTAAAAGTTAACAACAAAATAATAACTCTTAGAGAAGGTTTCGAAGCTGTGTTGACATATATGCAAAATAATCTGCTGCCCACCAATCTGTTCGTACAATCCAATATAAAGCTAGAAACACCCTTGACAGCTAAATGATCTAGATGTAATGCCTGCATCCCGTTTGACGACGGTCGCGTTTTTCCCATTAAGGGTTCCGATACTGACTCTTAAACACTTAGTAACACAAACGTAGTTTAAAATAAAATAATAGAAACGTGTGAGATCTTGTGACCATTATGCGACGTTATCGCTGAACTTATTTTAACAAAGTTCTTGTCACTGTAAGATGTAACTGCTGACAGACGTTTGTCAATACGGCGGATAAAGTGTTCCCTAGCTCTACAAGTAAGCTGTGAGCAAATATCGTTGACGTTTTAGGCTGCCGCTCTGCCTCCTCTAGAGTGCGCACGTTAAAGCATAGCTCTGAAACTTGGCTTCTTTCTCACCTCGAAATTTAATGTGTCTGCTTTACACCCTCAGTGACACTTGATTTATTTGATTTTTATAGTCGTAACTTCAATGAGATTTGGGGCGTTAATTGATCACGGTAAAGTACTCGTTTTTTCGAAATAAGAAACGGTACCACTATCAATTCGATTTAAAATAGGTTTTGTGCACTTAGAAGTGATTTGCCGGGCTTTAGGCAAACATTTTGCTCGCTTTCTTCTTTCGCGGTACAATTAGTTTAAACGGCAGTCCAAGATGTCGAGAATTCATTCACACATGTAAAAGTTAAGTGTTAATATACACTGAGCGTTGCCATCACAAAGTTTACTGTTTTAACCCCTTTTCAACTCGGGGGGCCTTCGTTATGCACCGGATAGCGTTCATTTGAGTTAAGCCTAAAGCAACTTTATGTATTTGGGGGTTTTAATTCCGACCAGCATAGGCTTAGTAACGGATAGCGTAGAAAGAAACTTAGGACATCACTTCCAGTCAGTTACGGCGAACAAAAGAGAATGAGACGACGACTACTAGAAGAACATGTTTGTTCTCTGCTAGGATAAAAACCAGACCCACAGATTCATTGGGGTTGTGTCAAGTTGACTAAACTTCCGGCCTATCCCTAAAATGTCTAGACCAAAACTTTAAATTTGATATAGCAGTTTTTATTTCTAGCTTGCTATCTCATGTACGTACTTTCGCATTGAAATTTCCCTACACCTGAGTTGGACTAAGCGTACTAGCACATGGCTTATATAATCAGGGTAAATTAATGAGAAATCATTGGCATATCAAGCTGTTCCTATAGCGTTAACATGGCCCAAAAAGGCTCCATAAGGTCTACTTCAAGCTCGTATCCTTCTTTGTTTTGTCCTCTCTCTATACATAATAATATGTTAAATTAGGTATAATGATATATTTGTGCCTAAACTTGCTGAGATTCTGATGAATTTCATAGCGTGTTAAAAATTCATAGTTAGAGCAGAATCATTATTAAATTGTGGGGTGTTTAGGTGTGAGAATTAGGGTACTTACCCCCCTGGAAAATTGTCACCGGCGAACGACAATAGTGCACTGTTAGGCGATGGAACCTTCTATCAGTAGGACAACTGGCTCTATGAGTATTAACATAATTACATAACTAAAATAATTAGTTACGAAGTTGTACAACGAAAACTTGTATTTTATAAATTGCTTACGCCTAAAACAGGCCTGTAGGTTGATACTGTCCAAGGCTACCCGCGATACGGCCAACTAGTTGTCCTGGACAGTCTATATAATGACCTTATTTTCTTTTTGGCTTTAAGATTAAAAAGATCCAACCGTCTATTTCGACTGAAGCGATGAGCGTTTACTTTGTATAGATAAAAAACATTTTTTAAGGACTTAAATTGCTTGGCGCCAATTTCTCATTTAAATAGATTTTTGTTGGAAGCAAATGATGCTGCCGGTGCAATATAGCATACCAGACATTTACAAAAACATTCTGTAACAATAACTTAATTCGAATAATTATTAAGCCGAACGTATACTGATAGTATCATGAATTAAGGGTAACAGCTGAAGTTATAAACTCAAGTATCTATTGTTGTATAAAATAAATGCACTGAATAATAGAGCCTGACCATATTTACTGAGGATCTAAATTATAGATGTTCCCTTACTTGCGGCAAATATTAGAGTCTAAATCAGTAGTACCTTTCATGATTGCTTTTCAGTTGTTTTTTGACAAAAACAGAATCAGTTAAAAAGGGTTTTGTCAGATTGTCCTGCATCATTGTTTGACTCTAGTCATAGTCTCACATCATTGAAAGAAACAGGTCTTTGTATTTTCCGTGGACTGTATTTTTAAACATCGTATTTGTCATCCTGCTCTATTATGTTCACACAGTGCGCTCCTCCTAATCGAATATCAATTGTTTCTGTAATCCTGCTTGCTATATGCTTAAGCTCTTTGCTTCGCGAAAACTATTCTCATTCTAATTCATATCTTATTAACACTAAATGTATATGGGGGCATAATCGAATCTTCCTTGTGCAAAATGATCAGGGCAACGAAAAAACAATCTACGAAAAGATGCCTGGTAGGACCATAACCAGCGCACAGCATTTTTATGGCGATGACTACGATGGCTTCAGCTGTCATTACATTTTTGTGTGGTACTTTTTCGATTAAAACAGACCTGACCTAGGTTAGATCAATTCACCACCTTAAGGCGTGTGGGACGCTAAGAGAATACGAAAACACAAGTTATGACATAAAAGACATATGCTAGCATTTGTGCTAAGAAGGAAGAGTTCGAACTGGAACGCCAAAATACTAAAATCAGTATTTTTGCTTTCACAAAACAAATAAGGAAAAGCTGGAAGAAAATATGGAAAAAATGGAAGAATATATTTTTTAAAGCCAAAACAAAGAAAGGGAGCTTGCGAAAAATAGTTTTGATTTTAACTTGATGTATAAGTTAGTCGATTCTAATGCTGGCGTCTTCAAGATCCAGCTGAGGTATCGCCACAGATCGGGTTGAGTATCGTTGAAGGCGCTAAAATGACTAGCGAGTAAGTTTGTGTTGAGCTTCGATTGTATTAAGCGTTTCACAAACCTTATTTGGGTAAATCGGAGTACTGTCGTTAATATTAAAGGGCGTTCCCTTAGAAAATGGGAAGTTTTCGCTTTGATTAGACCTGACGTATGGCTAACTATGATGATACCCATAAATTTAAAACCCTGAAGTTTAGATCATATATTTGTTAATTATGTATACTGAAATACTGAACATTAAGGGTTGAGTGACATTTCATTTCACTCATTCATTTCTAATAAATTTGGATATGATTGTGTTCGTAGTGAACCGGCTATGCATGCTTATATCCCATGTTTTTTTATTTCGATATCCTGTGCCTGTGCATTTTTTCGTTATCCTGCAATGAAATATACCAGCGTACGCATTATGCCGTCCGTATTGGTTTGTCATCAGATGTTTATATGTGAATGCTCGACAATTTGCAAGATTTGTTTTTGAATAGTTTGCCAGATGTGGATTTACGCATCTAGTTCAGTCGCCAATCCTTGAAGTAGAGTGCCTTGACTAGTGCCATCAGCGTACTTAGATCAAATAGAAACCCTTCAATTTTGAGTATCAGACTATTAGTTGGATCCTTCACGATTGATTTAATACGTCCCTGAACGCCAGCGTCGCTGCCTGCCACTACAAAGCAGTCGTTTAGCATGTAATATAAATATGTTAAATAGGTAAGTAACTAAGCCTGAACTCATATAGAGTTTTTTTAATCCTTCAAGTATGCTTTGTTTGAAGCGCCTTCGTACAAAAGGGCTTAATTTCAGCCAAAATTCACAAGACCGACTCTGTGTAAAGGGTGAACGTTAGGTTATGAAGTTTTCATGATTCTAAAATCATTAGTTAACCTGAAGTGAGTAATTTTTTGTTTGGAGTCTGGTAAATCTCGGCTTTTATAGTTCCTGAGATGGCAGCATTTACCAAGTTAGATTTAGGTCGTTTCGCACTAAAACGGTCGACATTTTTGGACGTAAGAAAGATGTAAACCCAGGCCCTTTTACGTGAAAACACAACGTATGAGAATTCATAATACCAAGTGCCTTATAACGCATATTGGAAGATACGCAATCTCAGAATTGCGCAGGCCCCTCACGTTTTATAATATTGTGGTATCAATGAACCATAATCAGTTTCTAAAGCGACTTCCTTGCATGATGGTACAAAAGCAGTCCATAATCACTGGCTCCCAGAAAAATCTCAGAGGTCCCTTTTGCAAAATTCAAAACATTTTATCATGAACGTTGTACTTAGATTTTAGAGAAATTGTATGTTTAGCCTGAATGCTATTATCCAAGAAATTTCTCTGTTGGTATGAAAATTCCACATATCAAAACTATCAGGAAATTATGTGCTGCAAAAAGTACAAGACAAGGAGATATTAAAAAAGGATCGGTTACGATGCATCATACGTAACGTATCTGCCTACTAAATTCCGAGATCTGTTCGCACTCGAGTGTAGACAGGGTTGGTCTCGTACTCAGAGGCAGCATTTTGATAGAATGCCTAGCAACGACACCGAACATAAAACTTTAAACATAGGGTGGTCTATTGGAAAGTAAACCAAAAAAGATCAATAATATCCACCCCTACTATTCTGTCTCAGTGAACTAGGCTTTTCGATGCTATACTAAAAAAAGTTATTTTCAAGTAATGCTTGTTCCAGCTGGGATAGCCGGGGTGTCCTGATAAAGCAAGCCGGTGTATTTGGGGCAAACTGATGATTTTCAAAGATACTTAGATGAAAAATAGCATACTAGAAGTGCTAATGTTAGTTTTTAACTTTAATTGAATTGGAACAACGACAGATCCATAAAGTTGACGTTATGGCATCGTCATAAAAATACCGCCAGTGATGTCCTTGTGACTATCTCTGATCGTAAAGGACTGATAGACATATACGCGATTAGCAAGCTTGTCCACAGCTTAATTGTCAGAATCTAATGCTACTACCTCGAACTGCAAAACGCAACAAATTATTGTGTTATTGTTACGGGTGTGTCGTACAGCTTAAAATATAAAACTACTCCATAAGAGGATCAACGGAGGGATCTATCTCGTGTGTGTCTGCTATATAGTTATACTATTGCGTAGTGAATCTCCCCACTGGGTCCAGTGAGATAAAAAATATTTCCCGAAACAGGTTTGTGCGGTGTGAGGTAACTTAGATAGATTTCAAAGTCAGCCAACTAACAAATACAACTTTTCTATAATAAGTTAAGTTGATACACTTGTTATTGCACAGTGCCTACCTTGCAGAATGCGCATCTTTCGTTCGTTCGTGAATCAATACTGTTTTAAGCGTAGCTAAACAAACCGACATGAGCTCTTTCACTATCTATCACAGCTGTACTGTCAGAAATGCTTAAGCTATCATATGTTTTGGAAGTTTTCTGTAATAAGAACCAGATCAGTCGCTTTAATTACTATAATGATATAAATAAAAGTATTCAAACGAAGCGAAAACAGTGCCCTCCCCGGGCTGAAAGCAATCCACTAACAAAAACTCCTGCGGATAGGTCACGCGTACCGAGGCCATTGAAGTTCTTGAAATGGGCTCAACAGATGCTAGGGGATTTTTCTTTCACTATATTAAATTTCGGAATCTTTTGAACTTTAATTCAATTTGTTCAGAGCAATAGTGAACTTAAATGGCGTATACAGTTCTGTAATATGTCGGCACGGTGACCTGGAGGGCTAAATCTCTTGCAAAAGACCAGAGGTCGATGGTTCAGGATACGCCAGCGGCATATACAACGATTAAATAAGAAAACAATAATATTATTCTATAATATTAGTATACTGTAAGAGTATTTCCGTGGCCAGTAAATCGACCTAGAACTGTACAGGATACGTTCCCTCCATTATAACTACATTGTTTGCTGGGAATTTCGATCTATTTCGTAAATGCGTAGACCTCGCGACCCCCTGTGAATTTAATGATTTTGTATCTTCATCAAACACGCATATAGAATAAAGTATCAAATATTACATAAAATATAATTAGCCTTCCTACTTAACATGTAAAGCCTTTGGTCGTAGAGAAAAAAAAAAAAAAAAACTTGAATTCTATGTAACCATCGTGCTTTACCTGAAATTTAATAATACCCAGAAGAATCAAAATCAATTTAAGCCGTTGTTGATGCATAGCTAGCGTCTTTCGCCGATCGTTCTTTCTGTCTAAGCAAATAATATGTTCAGTATGAGATTAGATCTGCATGTAAGTACAAGACCTACTTCACGCGGAGGTAAGGCCATATACCCGCATCTTGTGATTTTTTCTCTTCTCAAAAATATTATGTGAGTCAAACAAAGATTAATTCTCCTTATCTATGAATGAATCCTATACGTTGCTCTCTATTACTGTTGGGTTTTCAAATGATTTCAGTCTTTGAAGAACCTTTTGTTTGGATGTATTGTTTACTTACGTTTGAACCACATGGTCCATAGAATAAACGATTATCTTGAAACGGGTTGTTTTTTCATGGAAAGCAAAGGCATTTTTGCCTAAAACCAACCATTTGTTGTCGTAAAAAAGCTATTTATATGTGCGAGTTGCGCCTCTTATATCACACAATTTTACACTAGGTGCCCCGTTTTTAGTTTTCAGACCAGAGAAGATAGTAAATACAAGTCTAATAAACATGATAAGACGGCAGGCAAAATACCAGTCCAATCCGAACTCTAGCACCAATATATGACGCAATAGCACAACGCGTGGGACGGATTTCATTAAGTTGGAAGCATAGATTTACAATTGCAACAGTGTGATACCTTGCTTAGTTCATGGTAAGTTGTGTGCCAATAAATTATATATGAAAATAAACATGTAAGTTCAGAATATTGCCGTTTACATTAGACTGGCTGCCGAGTTCTCCAAAACAACAGGTAAAAAAAGAAAGCAAAAATAACCAAAATTGAAAAAGACTTTACTTCAACCTTAAACTTATTGTGGGTCTTGCTTTTCTTGACATAATGATCATAGTCTACAACCACTGTCATTTAGGGGAACAAAGTTATATCGTCTTTTAGTTCATATGAAGTGGGTTGCCTCGTTTTCTAAAAGGGACCGAAAACTCAGTGTAGCCAGGATTTTATGAATTCGCAAAAATACAGTCAAAAGCATCGTCTAGTTGACCCATCGTCTGTGTCAATTTAGGTAGACCGAAACGAAAGAAACCTTAACATATACAAAATTAGCACGCTACTCTCGAAGCTTCTCTTCCTTTAAAGATGAGTTCAACTTACGCCTGGAGCCGGACGCGCGGACGATTATACAAACAGCTCATTGGGGTCAAGAATCATCAGAAGAGGTTGGGAAGAAGTTGAGCAGACGTACGCAACGCATTCGACGATGGAGTGTAGCCGGCTTCAGCGGTCTCGTCCCACTGGGGTTGCAAACTGGTTGAATGCTTAACTACGGGATAGCAGGCCCTACATTTGTTGACTGAGCTCTTACTGGACCCAACACGATCAACTTCACCATTAGTGTTGCTTTAAGTCCTGTAGTATAGGCAACATCTATCTATTCTATTCTAATTAAATTTCGAAAGAGGAACTTTTGTATAAGCAAATTGTTACTGATTTAATTTTATTGATTCAGTGTTGCTTATAGTAGATTATTTTTCTCTTTATTTTATATTGCTTGTGTCATAATGATTTCGTTCCCATTTGGAAATTATTGAGAGTCTTTATCAGAGTTTCGTTATTAAGATTATTTGGGCCTGCTCATGGGTTTGGCATGTATGGTCCCAATACCCAAGGCCTTTCGGAAATAATGTCAGAGCAAAGACAAAGCTTCGGTTGCAATTAACGTAGAATTTGCGTCTCAAAAAGATTAGTTACTATTATTCTTTCTAAATACGCCCGATGTAAACGGCTTTTTTCAAATATATCTAATTACTAAATTTTCATTCGAGCGATGCCAACCGTGTCGGATCGACGGGAGTTTACCGGGATAAGAATACTGTAAGAAAAATAAGCTTTGTTTTTATTCAATAATGAAAAAATATAGTACAATATTTACCATTTTGGGCATCTTAGTAGAGAAACCCAAATCGCTTCCAAAGCGTTTCATCTTTACATTAACCCTTTTGCCTGCCATTTAGGCAAAGATTCTTCGACTACGCAATTACACGTTCTGTTTGCGTTTTGCCCCTCTAATTAATTTTCACACAAATCACGAAGATTTTTTATGTTCTTTGAAAATTTCATATCTGCCATTATTATTGAGATGCAGTACGTTAGCAGATTTCCACAGGTGCACAATTATGTTTCAATCGACAATCTGTGCGTGTATAGCCATTTATATGCAACTAATTGGGATTCATTAAGTTTCATAAATTTTTAAATAGGGAACAAGTGGCAAAATTTTTAGCGTTTTTTTTTCAACGATCGCTCATCTGTGGTGCAAAATGGCTCGTGTTCGTAGCAGACAGTGTGTAGGAAAATACTGAATTTCAGTGATCTATATAGATCTAGGTAGACAGTGATTCCATCCTTGCGCTTCGTGTTTTACGTTCATAACTACCGTTGGCCATCGTTTAATCCTCTCGCATTTTTTTGGCAGATTTATAAATTTAAGAACTCGTAGAACTAATGGGACCGTTTGGTTCCAGATTTAAGATATGGCATAAAATAAGCCATATGCACATATGTAAGCGAATTATACTTGTCAGTCCAAGTGACTGAAATGTATATATATTTTGCTTCAACTAAAAAGCTTATGAAGTACTTACGAATTTGAAGTTAAGCTTTACTAGGTACCGAAAATATGACAACCAACTTAATCACTGTTACAGATTCACTTAGACACCAGTAAAAATCGGTGATGGCCAAATGTCAATCCACGATATTCACTCGCAAGCTCTAAATCATTACCGCCAAAAGTTAATTAGTTTAAAAGGGATCCAGTCTGATAGAACTTGATATTTCTAAAATCCGAAATTGAAACCGTCAATGGGTAAAGGTAATGAACGTTTATCTAGGTACTTTACATTAGCACGAGGTCATGCGGAAGACATAATTCTGAATTGCTATAGTCTACTGCTCTTCCATTGTGAACTGTTAAATTCATTGGGGACGTGATCAGGACCTTTATGTACGTAAAACGAGTGTGGGCAATAAGGACCGCGAAAAATGAACTTTGTAGCCTACATTATATGCATCAATTAAGAAGGAATGCAGGCGTGCTATAGCTATAAAACCATCTGCACCTTTTCCATGCGTAACTGTCGCTTACGATTCCATTTAGCGCAACGACTTCACAAACTATAGGACCTTCGCAGTAGAAATAATGATTCATAAGATCTACTTTGTATAGCTGCAGCGTATCTTAACAGGACCTTACTTTTTAGATAACGACAAGAGCCAGATCAATTCTGTAGTGTTTCTGACGAAGATCTGCAAGGAAATCGCTTTAAAAATATACTCAATTTCTCAAATAGGGACATCCTTGTGCTCTAAAAGCTACTAAAATATAAGCATCTTATCAGATTTTCCCATATTAATGCATATAAGGATATATATGGAAACGAGGACAGATGAAAAGGCTTGCTATTAGCCGGATACTATTATTAGCATAGGTATTTTCCCGGCAATCGATACGCGTAGTATATTCTTAACACTATGCAAATATCGCTTAATTTAGTAGTTTGTTTTGTAGAGTCAGCTTTTTTTGTATTTATCAAGCGACTAAAAAATCATAGTAAGGGCTTGTAATTAAAAGCTATAACCTCCTTCCGTTGCCAAACCTTATAGGATATATATGCCCTCTGTTGTTGCCTAATTTTTTTTAAATATTTTCATAAAATCCTAAAACGAAACCATAATACACACTGCCCTTGAGCAAGTTTGGGTCCTAAATACGAATGCATATTCCAAAAGCAAGCTGGAACCAAAATTACATAAATACGACAATTCTCCCGGGAATTCTTAAATAGCCTGAAAGGAAATAACGCCTACGGAGGCAAGGTGCCTGCCCCCATCCCCTCGTTAACTTCGTTTCACTGAATAACCTGTGTTTTATTTCTCCGGTGCAAAATTATGATGGCAATTACGCTGGAAAGCATAATTATTAAAAGTACTACAGGGATAAAAATTACATTTCTTGTTAGTACATATGTCACCCTTTATTGAAGATAATGTTTTGAAAGATGCGCGGAACATCTTGAGAGCGTTTAAATATGACTTCGAAGTACCTAACAATGCAAGTTCCTTCCATGTGCCACCCCGCCAAAAAAAACGAGTTAAAAAACAAGTTCCGAAGAGTGTTATCCTCATACAATTCACAGAATTTTAGTATCGAAAACATAGGATAGACGCAATCCTTTATTAAATTTGCTATAGAAAACATCTATAAAACTAGACACGATATGTCTCCAACATCATACAGTATTAGCAAACTCCCTTGGTAGGCATAGCGGCATATGACATCGTCTAAGTTTGAAATCGGCTTCCTTTTGGCCTAGGCATATTTGGATTTATTTACTACTTCCTTTCGATTTGGCTCGTCATTGAGTTCCAATTTAAATAGTTTGTTAGATCTGTTCATTCGAATACGTCCCACCGTTATTATGTACATATATGTCGTGTATATGTCTACTATTATACCCTTTGAAAAAAAATGCACAGATCGGTGACACTTTTATTGCTGCAAAATCCTATTTCATTTAATTTTCGGCCGTGCCCCTTCGATCAGCTAGAACTATAGTGGACGCTTTTTTCTACAACCGTCGCTGTAGGGCCGTTACGTGTCTTGAAAATGCCCCTTATCCTTTTTCATTGTGTACAATTGACGGTTGCGAACGTCGAGCGTAATAAAAACCTGCTGCATTTTTATGGTGCATCATCTCATGCGTCTGCGTTGGTGTCAGCGGTGCTGCTAGCTTGCGTTATATGTCGGTTTCCATGTTTCCTTTTTTTTTTTTTAGGGCTGACTGCAAAGCAAGACACCGGCTACTTTTTCGTTTGACTGTTTGCCCGGCCACGTCTATTCTATACTGCATTGGTTTGAGATAATGAAACCCTGTATTTTTACGCCTTGCTATCAGTGCTGCTGGCTCAGGCGAACGGGTAGCTAGCTGAACGACATCATATTGAGCAAAGCACGCTTATCTGGAAAATGAGAACAAACATTAGCATGGATAGATAATAGTACACCGGGTAGAAGAAGTTTATCAGCGGCTAAATTTCTAAGTTAAAATATAGGTTAATCCACTCTTCTATGCAGTCAATAACACATTAGATTACTATCATGTTTATCTAATCGAAAATTGTATGTTTGATATCTTCCGTGTTTTTTTTTTGGCCGACAAAAAATATACGTATGCATGCCATATTGATGAAAAGCCATTAAAAATTAATTGTTTGAACTTCGCCTCCGAATACATTGACTCCATTGTTGTGCATATCATATTATTATAGGTTATGTAAATAATTTTTGTGCGATTACTATCTTCATAATTCATATATTTAATTGTCTACTAAATGTAAAGTAACCCACGCACCTTCAATGAAGTCTCAGCATATTTAAATAATTTATAGTTAAATTAAACATGAAATAGCCGTCTTCCGTTTCATTTAACCCAGATTACAAAGAATTCAAGTCAAAGATTTACCTCTTTGTATTGAAATTTACCAATCAAATTTTGTATTGAAGTAGGGGCAAGTGCAGCTACCTTCACCGCAGATGATTATTACAGTGTACCGTATCGCCAAACACTTCCTAGCGAATGAAG